CAAATCTCATCACCATTTAATGCTCATTAATGCTCACAACCACTTTGGGACATTCATCCAAGGGGTCTCTCCACGTGTGGCTTAGTAACACCCTTGTGCAGGCTTAGGCATGGGTCTATGCGCCACTTTTTGCCTATGGGTGTCACTTCTCCTTAATCCTCGCTTACTGTTCTAACCTAGGCTGAAAAGCTGTCCATCATCACAACTTTTCATGAACTTCCTTCAAGAACAAGTTTACCTCTACTGCATAATATTGGCGCCATTTAACGTTCAAAAATTCACAAAGCCTTGCCTATAAATAGGACACCATTGTCCATTAAAAAACGAGACGAAAGAAAATCCAGAAAAATTGCTAGAAGAAGAACAGAAAGCTCTAGTAAGAAAACATTGTGAAACTCTGCCAAAATCCCTAGTGTTTCATAACTTTGAACTACCTGCCTCCACACTTCATTGATACCCAGTTTGCTTCCTGACTAGAGAATGCCCATACAGTTCCTGACCATACATACCTATATCTTCTCCATCCACCCATTCTAAAAAGAACCTGTCAAGAACACCATCAGAGCTAAAGCTAGCTCCAACTCACAGATTTTCTTCCAACAGCAAGGTAAGCACCTGCTGACTCTCATCACGCTGCTAAGCATCATCAACTTTGCATGCTCAATAAATACAATGTAGATATCATGTGGCTGTTGTATGCGTTCTGAGGATTTTCATGCCTCTGAATGCTTAAGTAGGAAGTGGATCAGTGTAGAACCTGCCTGTGACCTTGTTGGTTCTGTCTTCTGAAACACTTTGACACTTGCTGAGATTGTCCTAGGCATGCCTTCTGTTTTATGGAAAAATAATAAAACTGCAGATGTTCTGGCTAGCATAGGGGGAAACCAAGCTCTGACTTTGACGCCAGCACTTCTGAGGCCTGTTTTGCTGTCAATAATATTAGAACTTCTGAAAATTATTGTGTTTCCAGCAGGGTCAGAACTTCTGACTTCCCCACTAACAAACTTTTGTCTTGCAGCGCATGGGAGTCAGAACTTCTAACCTTCCCACTAACAGGTTTCTGTTTTGCAGGGCACCAGAGTCAGAAGTTCTGACTCATACATTTTCACTAACAGATTGATAACCTGCAGCAGGCCTGAGTCAGAACTTCTGACTTCCTCTCAGCAGCGCGCTAGCCCTCTCTCTCTTTCTCTTTTTCTTCCCCTTGTTATTTTCTTTTTTTATCTATTTTTCTCGTTGGACCACCCCCCATGTACAAGTGTGTATCCCCCATCCCCTAAATATTGTAATAGCGTGGGATTTTACATTTCCACATTTTTATTGCTTTCAAATGTAAATGCTAGTAATTAGGATGTGTATGACAAGATAAAATCAATGAAATAGAAAATCTTAATTCAAGATAAAATCATGCATGCAAAAAAACACACTTGTACACGAAAACCCTTAAGGTATCTCCACTTGGTTGCCTAAACAAATGGTCATGGTATGCATGCTAGGTATCTTGGCAAAACAAAAACAAAACAAAAGATCATAGTCCCTCGATGACGCTATCATGGTTGCCTAAATAAAATGATCTAGTCCCTCAAGAATTGCTAAAAATACTTAGCACAATTGCTATTATGGTCAATACAATGACCCGCGCCTGTCCCGTTTAACATCCTAATACAAGTTTGTTTATCAAATACAATGGTAAAACAACACTGTCAAAAGGGTTAAAAATATGTAGGAAAGATCTTTGAGTAAAATAGGGTAGACAACTCTTAGTTACTTGATCAAAGCTTGCAAAACATCCTTGTTATTTTCAAACACACTTCACAACACAATTTCAAAACATTTCCCAAAAACAAACTTTCAAACCTTGAAAAATCTTTTCAAAAGACAAATACACCCTTGTATACATTCAAACAAGAATCATTACAAAGATTGCCACAATGATGGCCTCTTTTCAAAATATTTTTCAAAATCACACACACAAAGCACCATTTTAAACAATTGAAAAGCAAAAGCAAGTGATCTAAACAAGTAACTAAGAGCCCATGGATAACCATGGATGAAAAGGGTGCTAACACCTTCCCTTTTCATAATCTACTCCCTGAACCCAAGAAAATATCTCAAAGGTCTTTCCTGTACTTTTTGACTTTTCCTTTGGATAAAATAAAAAGTCGGTGGCGACTCTTGATAAACCGAAACATTTGCGAACACAAACGCAAAACCTCAAGTCAGTTCTCCCACCGCATCACAGAGATCGGTCAATAACAATCTATGTAATTCATGTTTGGATAAATGATATAGAGATCATTATCCCTTAACATGTAGCACAAATAAAAAAGAAATGGATAAGATGAAGAGAGAGGGGAATGATAAGCTAATTTGGATCACTATCTCAAATTTCTTTCATCTTTAAATTCAATCACTCATCTTGGTGGATTAAAGTACTAAACATATCATTAATACAAATCACCAAAAATGAATTAAATAATTCATTCTTTGGTAGATTTGAATTAATGAATATTTATCCAACTTCATCTACGCCCAAAGTTCATTGAACTTAAAGAGAAATTCGACATTTAAAATTGCAATCCAAATCAACAATCAAAAGGAGTGAGTAGAAAAAGAGAGATGGATCAAAACAACCCCAAAACAAGGCAGAAAAAGCATTTTGGCTCTGTTACAATCGATTGCGCTCTGGCAGCAATCGATTGCATCAGTGCATTTTTTCAAATAAAATGTAAAATTCTGCTGTGACAATCGATTGCAATGTGAGTGCAATCAATTGCACCCTGTTAAAAACAAAAAATCAGCATTTCAAAAGGCCAAATTCTTGTTCAAACTTTCCATCAAAAATACCTTATGATCATGGATTTAATTGAGCACGAAAATTCCATCAAATTATTAGAAAATAGCACCAATGGAATCACAAAAACAATGCTCAATAAATCAAACCCAAAGATCAACAAGAGATCACATTGTGAAAGATGAACAATACAACTTACCAAAGGTAGATCTAGAGAATTATCAAAACAACTTCAAGAATTTGCTTCAATTCAACCCCGAGAACCAATTTCCCAAGCTTGGATGTAGAGAATTGATGAATAAAAAATGTTCGGATAAAGGTTTAGCTCAAAGATTAGTAAGCTTCAATAAAAAGTTTACTAACTTTTTTTTTTTTTTGAAAATGGAGCTTTGAGTGAATTTGGTAGATGGAGAGAATTTTGAGAGATTTTTTAGCAACGTGAATTTGGCTATCAAAAGCTTGAGATTTGAATGAAATGAGGGCTCTATTTATAGAGTTTAGGCTTGGGATTAGTGGTGGTTTGGAGTTTGGTTTTGGAAATGAAATTAGGCTTGGTAATTGATTCTTGGAGCCAAATTTTGAATTAATGATATATCTTTTAAAAAATGAAAAAAAATTGGAGCCAAAATTGACAAGTTTGAAATTGCTGATTTTTTTTTTAATTTCATTGTGCAATCGATTGCAATCTGGGAGCAATCGATTGCATCAGTGTTTTTTTCAAATATTACGCAAAATGAACTCTTTGCAATCGATTGCACTCTAAGAGCAATCGATTGTACAGTGAAAAAAAATGAAAAAATTTAATTATTTTTTCTTTGCAAATAGAGATTTTAGAAAAATAATACCGGAAAACCTTATTTGTCAGATGCTTTGACTTGGTACCTACAAAACACAAATATTCAAAGACAAATATTTTTTGTATTTTGATTAGAAGTTAGTCGACAACACATATACAAAATATACCACTAAGGTGCTTGGAGATCCCTCAAGAGCAAACTTAAAGATAAGATGCAAATGTGATGAATGAAGCTATTTATTAATGATTGTGACCAAATGACAAAATATGATATGAAAGTGCGACTGAAAAAGTTAGGGGCGAAATTTAGGGTACAACAGTTGTTTACCATTGAAATGCTTAGGTGCGCACATGATATAACAACAGAACCGCCAGCTTCTTCACAAGACTATTGGTTTCAGAACTCTCTTGAATATCAAAATTTGCAGAAACATAGTCACATATACAGGAATAACAATGTGGAAACTGGTCCGCAGATTGGGAAGATATTGCTTTTCCCATGAAAATAGTTTAGCAAATATTAGTAAAGTACATATAAAAAAAGACAAACCATAGCTTGGATGAGAACCATAATCGAGAATATTTTTAAAAGTAACGAAATGTAAAACAAAATACACCTCGAAGAAAGGGAGGTTAAAATTTTCGGCAACTCTATCTAGAGCACCGCTTATCGGCATTGATCGTGCAAGACCCCACAATTATAATACAGAAAAATGACACTTTTGTTTACAACAATGAATACTTGTCAATAATATGATATATATATATATATATATATATATATATATATATATATATATATATATATATATATATATATATATATATATATATATATATATATATATATATATATATATATACAAACTTTCTAGCTTGAAACTGTTCTTAAAGTAAGGAATCACTTCTTTTGCATTGGCTGTAATAACGGCTACAAAATCTGAATGAGTTACAAAGAAACTTGATCCCAAAATCATATTTCTATCATCATCACCTAAACAAAAGTTTAAATACAAAAACATCATCAAGTGAACACAAAAAATGCAGACAAAAATATCAACAATCTAACGTCGGGAATATCGGCAATCTTTATCTCAGAAATCTATGTCAATGGAAATTGTATGAAAAAGTTGAGAAAAATATCAATTGTGATTTCAAAAATTGGAATGTAGATTCAGAATATTAAGGCATACTTGAATGGGACACTTACAAATAGGGTGTTTCTGTAAATCTTACCGGTGATGGATTCTGGTGCAGGTTGTCCGCTACTCTAATTAAACTGAACTCAACAGTAAAGAAATTTATCAGAAACACAAACGGATAAATTTACGTATAACACAGTCTTGACTACAAAGTACAAACATATTACAGGAAAAACTAAGTATTGACAAATTGGTATTTATTATGTACATTGGATAGTCTTCTCCAGACCAAGGCGGCCTATGATTTGTGCGATAACATCTGCTTGCATATTATCAGTATGTTTGGAAACATCATCAACATCAACCATTATCATGTCAGCACCCGCTTCTAGACACCTCTCAGCTCTCCTAATCAAGAGATCCACATCTTTTACTAATTGTATTGGAAAAGTTTCAATACAAGTTCAAACGAAAATACTAAGCTGATTTTACATCCTTCAAAGCAACCAATCTTCACTGTCCAAAATATTTTATATCTCAGTACCTTAATATTTCTTAAGCACAACTTGAAACAAAAAACATTAGAATTTCTAAATACGTTCAACAATCAAAGAGGAAGAAATCTATAGTAGGCATATCTTCTGCATAATCCATGAACACCTTCAATTGAAAATCAATCTAATTAACAAAATTGGGAACGAAATCAATTAGAATGAATCAATGCAATTATGTAGAATTGATCTTAAATTGGAGTAAAACCTAACATTTTTGCAAACCTGTTTACGTGCTCCCATTGTTTTGTTGAGCCAAGAGACCCAAACCAGTACCAGTCTCTACTTTTATCCATAATTATCCAATACGGTTAGTTTAACACACCGCGTCTGCGCTTCGCTTCGGTCTCGGTGTTGTTCATCATCTAAAACAAAGGATGACAATAGAGAATCAGTTCATAATTTGATGAAGAAGCTTCAATAATGGCAACAATGACAAATGATTTTAAATACAAACCTCTGATTGAAGATGACCCAACGATTCGATTTTCGGCTGAGGGGAGAGCAGTTTCAGAGGATTGAAGGTTTTGATCTGAATTTTGATTTGTGATTGAGAGTTTTCATGGATAGGGAGGAAAGTGAAGGTTCTGGTGAGAGGGGAGGGAGAGCGAAGAGATGAGTTCAGAGAGAGAGAGAGAGAGAAAAGTGTTTTGGTGAGAGAGTGAAGGAAATGATTTTTGATGTGAGAGAGTGAAAGCAATGTTAGAAGTGAGAAAATTTTGTAACCGCTGGAGAATTAGAAGAGAACAAAAAAAAAGATGTAAATACATAGAAAAATTAGATTTTGAAGTAATTGAAGCAAAATATTTCATGTCTTCTAACAAAGCCACGTGTCGTTATCAGAGGAATTAAAGAAAAAAATATAAACTTTTCTTATATTATTATAGATAGTTACTTATATGTGAATTTTGTAACTTTATAGTTAAAGTAATATTATTTAAATAGAGATAAAAAAATTAATATATTTTGCTTAATGTATCCAAGACTAATACTACAATTTTCTATTAGCATTTTAATATATACAACATGTATGTATTTTATTATTTATATTATAAATGCATTTCTTTCTATTATATAACGAATATGTATTCGTTAGAAATATGTTTCTGTATGTATGAACATTGTTCTAATATTAAAAAATAAGAATGAGGAGAGTTTTTTTTAGAAAAGCACTCTTAATAATTTCAAATCGCTCTTCTTTTTAAAGAAAATGAGTTATTTTATTTAAAAAAGTGTTCTCCTTTTCTTACCTACTATAACTCTTTTAGAAACACTTTTTATTATCGACTTTTTAGAGTGCCAATTCAAAAGAATGTTAAAGCACTTTTGAATGCTAAAAAGTGCTTTTGAAGGTTGTTTCATACTATAACTAGAGATAATCGAAAATAATGGATTAAAAATCTATTATAGTGGTTCGCAACTTCCGATATAGTGGAGTGGGGTTCACATGCAAGGTTATAACTATAACAATCAAGTTAGTAAGTGTTTTGGACTGGACAACTAACTATGCACGATCCAATCCACTATTTCTTCAAGACAATTCAAAAGTATTGACCCAATCAGCTTAGGACTAGTAAATGGCACGTTTCCCTTCTGCTTGACAGTTATGGTCGCGTGGTCGATTGATCTAGGCTCAACAAGACCACGACTACTCTCGACGACGCCTCTGCTCGCGATAACAGTTAATTTCTGGCAACTCTGTCCGAGATAACAGCTAGTTTCGGGCACCTCTTCCCAGGATAACGAGCACGAGCTGCTCATTCCTGCTTTCACGCTGAAATCCTGGCAGTTACCTATTTCTGGGCCTAATATACAGGCTCAAAAATAAGAATCAATGACCAAGCGTCGGGGGCATTATATAAACCCTCACACTTGTGAGGGTCAGATATTTAATATTCAATCCTAAAACCTTTTTTTTTCTCTCAAGTATCTCTTTGCACTCTTACTTACTTGAGTGCCGGAGTGCTTTGTAGGTACACACTTCCCTTGTGATTCCAGCAATACAGGCGCAGATATCGGTCCATTACAGGTTCTGATTATTGGTAAGATCAGTGACGTCGTCTGTGGGAAACATGTACTCCCCATCTTTCTTTCCCTGGAAACCAAACATCAAAGCAACATTTCAAGATTCCAACCATGGCCGAAATAGATGACGACAACCTTGCTCATAAAACCATCATATCGCATGTCCGTAAAATGGATGACAATAGAGAAATTCCATTTCTCGAAAGCATTCCCCTAAAGAGGGACGACTGCACCACGTCTCCCTCCTTCGACGATACAGAGGACGGTGATGTCCAATTATTGGAAATTGGGTAATCCAAGAAAGTCTAAGAAGAAGCACCAGCAATTTTTTAGTCACTACCAGTGCCGACCAACACTGACCTAGCTATGGCAGCCCTGCTTGTAGCACTAAATCAAACCAATGCTCTAATCCTCCAGCAGAATGATAGGATTAGATCAATAGAAAAAGGACACCGTTCAAGATCTCATTTGAGGAGACACTGATGACGGGTGTCTCGTAGCCCATCACCGCAACGACCAAGTTGTTGCTCAGCACAGAAGAAGCCAAAGGTTTTGTTTATCAAGAAACGAAACGACAGTCCACCCCACAAAGACCGGATCTCCCCAGTAACAAAGAAGACCAAGGGCAACCGACGATTATAAAACCACCGTTCGCCCTCTCCCAAGCCAAAACATTGTCCGAGAATCCCGACTCCCTGTCAAGATGATAGCCCTTGTCGGGGAAAGAATAACTATTCTCCACCTCAATCACCATGGTGGAGTGACGAAGACAACTCCCGCGGTGCCTTATCATGGGAGATCATGGAAACTCCTCTACCTGTCGGGCTGGAAAAGCCTCTGAACTTGGGGACATATGACAGAACTACCAAACCAGACGAGAACCTCGAAAATATCAATGCCATGCTCGACTACCGAGGCATCAGGGGAACCATCAAATGCCGACTTTTCCCCCACAACTATGAGGAATGAGGTTATGACTTGGTATAGAAGTCTCCCTGACGATTCCATTACCTCCTAGAAGAATCTCGGGAAACAGTTCTCTAGAAACTTTACAGCCTCTCACCGCCACCCGAAATCAGAGGCATCAATGATGGAAATCATACAGGGGAAGGATGAACCCCTCCAGGCATACATAGAGAGATTCAATCGTGAAGCCGTCAAGGTTTTCCCGGTTGATGATATGAAAAATACTTGCTCGAGCGTGGGACGCGCCCTCACGATGACTTTGCAAAGGCATTTGGCATCGAGACACTAACCTTACTAGACGCCTTCCTCCATAAAGTCCAGTCGCACATCTAGTTTGAAGAGAAAGAAGCTGCCAATAATGCAAGTGACTCGCAGCACCAAGAGAATGCCAAAGTTTCGAAGCATGATGACTCATCGATATCTCGTCGGAGAGCAGAAAAAAGAAAGGAGGACAGACCCCAGTAATCTCGGGACAATAAAGGGCCAGGTGTCCGTTTCCCCGAATATACACCAATGGTCGCTTCATGCAAGCACATCTTGACTGAGTGTGCAAACTCAGAATTTCGTCAAACTGGGGTTCATTTCCCAGACAAACGTCGTCCCATCCAAATACGGACAAAATAAAGTATTACTGGTTCCCTAAGAGCCACGAACATGTGACCCAAGAATGCATCCATCTCAAGGATGAAATTGAAATTCTAATTCTGGACGGGCACCTAAAGCAGTATACAAAGAAGAAGAATGGTGCTCGTGATGACGCCTCAAAATCAATGAAGGTCGAGGAGAAACCATCCCCCGATGACGTCGGCTTGCAAGTTTCCATGTGCATTTCACGGCCAGAGTATTTCTATATCCCCGATGATGTCGGGCTCCCCCTTTACTTCTCAACACACAGTCCCTAGGGGACATTCCCCTCTTCCATGGTCATATTATGCGGGGGATTCAATAAATTCATTGTGGGCTCGGTGAAGAGAAAGATTGAATAGTTGATCGATGCAAGCTCAAACATAAACTCCACCCTCGATAAGTTCCAAGGAAACTCTATCCCCATTGCATTCTACCTCAAAGAAATCCTGGGTATATCTCCCAACTCAAGCACCCCTCTGCTTATAAGGGTACAAATGGATAACTTCAACGTCCAATAAATTCTGGTCGACCAGGGGAGCTCGATTGTCATTATATACTCCCGGTTATTCTCTAACTTGCAGCTCAATGAGACATATCTAACGCCCTACGTGGGCTCAAATTTACAAGGCTTCAACGGTGCAGTCACAAAACCATGGGGCTATATCAAGCTTATCGCCAGCTTTAGAGCAGCAGAAATAGCCAGATCCATCAAGGTCTCATTCTTAGTATTTCCCATATCTATACAAGTGTATTCTGGGAAGGCCAACTCTGGCCGAATTAATAGTTGTGTCCTCCACTGTGCACCTAAAAATGAAGTACTACACCTCAAAGGGACTTGTCGCCTCCTTCCCCGGAGACACAAAACCCGCGAGGAGATGTTTCGAGACAGCCTTGAAGGGACTGAATACCATCAGCGCACCACTCAGAATGGCCAAATAACCTTCCCGACCCAGTAACTCAGAAGAGTTGAAGCCGATGTCCCATGTTGACTCGATCAACCTTGACAATCGCTCACTAAAGACGATCTGTAAGATCAGAAGAGGAAGGAGAAAGATGCCCGAATGACTATAGAAATTTCTTCAACGCCAACTAGCAGTAAGGATCTTTCCCATCCTTTACGCCCAATTCCATACGGAGAGTTTGATATCATCCTCCTGGGAAAAGATCCCAACAAGGGAGTAAAAATCGGCATCGATCTCCCCAACCTAGCAAGGAAGCAACTAAAAGAATGCCTAAGGGAGAACGCTGATCTGCTTGCATGGAGCGCCTCTGATATTCCCGGGTTAGACCCAGAGGTAGCCTATCACCAGCCGATGATAGATCCTTTCCTTAAGGTTATAGCCCAGCATAGGCGCAAGCAGTCTCCGGAAAAAACAAAGGGTGCCAAGAAAGCTGTAAAAGACCTCCTAGAGAAAAACTTTATATGTGAAGCCCAGTACACAACCTCGCTGTCCAATGTTCTACTTGTCAAAAAACTAAATGGAAAATGGAGAATGTGTGTTGACTATACTGATCTTAATAGGATTTTCCCCAAAGATGCTTATCCTTTGCCTAACATAGATAAAATAGTTGATAATTCTGTTGGTTTTAAATTGTTGTCTTCTATGGATGCATATTTTGGATATAACCATATCCCCATGGAAAAAGGTGACAAAAGTATACATCTTTCATGATCGAGTCGAACAACTACTATTATAATGTAATGTCCTTTGGCGCCACTTACCAAAGACTGATGAACAAAGTGTTACAAGGAGAAATTGGAGACATGCTCGAGGTATACATGGACGATATGATCGTGAAATCCCAAGAGGAGTTCGACCATGTGCTCCACTTAAATAGGGTCTCCGACCAGGAAAGGAAATGCAGGATGCGATTCAATTCGGAGAAGTGCACTTTCGGTGTATGAGCAGGTAAATTCCTTGACTTCTATTTAACACAACGAGGAATTGAAGCAATCCCAGATTAGTGCAGGGCCTTCTCCAAGTTCCCAATACCAAATTTGAAGAAATCAATCCAATCTCTGAACGGGATGCTCACCTCATTGTCTCGCTTCGTGGAAAAATCTGCCAAGCACACACTTCCCCTTTTTCAAAATTCTTCACAATGAAGCGG